CAGGCAGGGGTATTCAGCAAGTGCCCTACCTTCACTCACAAAGGGACCACCTCAACCTGGGGGACCGCTCTCGGGACTGTCCCGCAGGACCAGGTCTGCAGGATAAGTGTCCCTTTCCCACATGCTGGCTAGGAAAGGCAGCCTCACACCTGGACTCTTAGGGAAGCACGAGCAGTGTCTGCACGTTTTTCAATTTAAACTGGCCGTGGGGAGCCGGAGCTGTGGCGTAGTGGGTAAAGCTGCCCAGTGGTTCCAGCCTCAGCTGCTCCACTTCCAATCTAGCTCCCTGCTAAATACGCCTGGGGAAAGCAGAGGAAGATGGCCCAAGTACTTGGGCCCCTGGATCTTTGTGGGAGGCCAGGAAGAGGCTCCTGGCTCCTGACTTTGGATGGGCCCAGCTCTGACCTTTGCAGCCATTTGGGGAGTGAGCCAGAGGATAGAAGATAGCTCTGTCTGTCTCTCTGTTAACGCTACCTTTCAAATAAAAACAAAAAACTGGCCATGGAAGAAGACAGCCTTCCTCCCTCCTCTGAGGGAGGCAATTCCTGTTCTGTGAATAATAAGCTATCTGCCACATTCACTGACCCGTAACAAAATTTCTGAGATCTGAATACAGTCACCACAAGCTGTCCCTGCTATGATACAGGTAAAATCACACTGGTTCACACCAGGGCGAGCCACAAAGCAAGCTCTGAAATGGAAAGTCATGGGGCATGCGACTCGGCAGTTAAGAGGCCACTTGGACACCCACGTCCCCCATCAGAGTGCCTGGGTCTGAATTCCCCCTCCACTCCTGATGCCAGCTAATGCATGCCCCAGGAATCACTAGGTGACCACTCATTAGGTCGCTGTCATCCACACAGGAGACCCAGATTTAGCTAGTACCCAACTCCTGCCTTCAGCCTGGCCCAGCCTGGCTATTGTGGGCGTTCAGGGAATCAACCAGCAGATGCAAGTGTGCTCTCTGCCTCTCAACACATTTTTTTTCCAATGGACTTCAGGGAAGGACGTTAATGTTGATATTCAGGTGCAACAGTAAGAACATTTCGGCCACTGTTCCTTCACAGACCCCACAACACACTAATTCAGTTCTCATTCGGGACTTCTGAGGTGCTTCCCCTCCTGTCTGGAAATCATTCCTAAACAGTTCACAGCCTTCTTGAGGACAGACAACAGTTAACAGCTGGTGGTCCTAATGAACTACAGGCAGGGAGAGGCCTGACATGGTGGCTCAGGAGGGTAAGCTGCTGCTTGCAGGGCCAGCACCCATTTTTAACGCCAATGTCCCAGCTCGTCTGCTTCTGATGACGCTTCCTGCTAGCACATCCTGGAAGGCAGCAGCAGATGGCCCAGGAACTTGGGCCCCACCACCTACATGAGAGGCCAGGACGGAGTTCTTGGCTCCTAGTTTGGGCTCCTAGTTTAACCCAGACCTGGTTATTGCAGCCATTTTAGGAGTGAACCAGCAGACAGAAGATCCCTGTCACTCTGCCTTTCAAAGAAATCAATAAATAATCTTTAAAAAACAAAACAGGGGCCGGCACTCTGGCGTAGTAGGCTAAGCCTCCGCTTGCTGCACCGGCATCCTATAGAGGCACTGATTCGAGTCCCAGCTGTGCCACTACTGATCAGCTCTCGGCTATGGCCTGGGAAAGCAGAAGATGGCCCAAGTCCCTGGGTCCCTGGACCTATGTGGGAGACCCGGAAGAAGATACTGGCTCCTGGCTTCAGATCAGCTCAGCTCCAGCCAGTGCAGCCATTTGGGGAGTGACCCAGTGGATAGAAGACTTCTCTGTCTCTACATCTCTAACTCTTTCAAATAAACAAAATCTAAAAAAAAAAAAAAAAAAAAGCCACTTGGGATGCCTGTATTCCAAATCAGGGTGCCTGGGGTTGAGTTCCAGCTCTGCTCCCCAACTCCAGCTTCCTGGGGCACAGTCTGGGAGCCAGCAGGTATCAGCTCTGGGTCCCTGCCACCCACGTGGGCGTCCTGCAATGTGTTCCCAGCTCCTGGTTTCAGCCCAGCCCAACTCCAGCTGTTGCTAGCATTTCCGGAATGAATCAGTGCATGGGAGATCACTCATTTGTGTATCTGTCTCTGCCTTTCAAACACAGAAAATAAAACACTGTTAAAGTATTAATATATAAGAAATGACTTCTGGTCATCTTCAGAGGTCCAAAAACCGGGTAACCATGACCTGCTGACTACTTTCCAGATATCCACTACAAGAGTTATTTGATTTCAAAGTCAATTTTATCGTTAGACACAAGCAATGGATCACACAGGTTTCACACCCATCAAATCAAAGGGCTCCGTGGGAGGGACCAGGGTAGTGGCGCCCGGGTTAAATTGCCACTTGGGTCAACGGCATCCCATTCTGGAGTCCATTTGGGGGATGAACCAGCAGATGGAACAGCTTTCTCTGTTTCTCCCTTTCCAATAAATAAATAAATAATTTTTTGAATGGAGTTTTTTTAAAAAAAAAAGTTCCACAGGAAAAATACATCCAAGAAGCTCTAAGGATAAAATGGATTATACTTTTTAAGACAAAAAAAAAATTCCTAAAAAACTGCAGCAAGGGCAGACACTGTGGCGTGGCAGGTTAAGAGGCCTCTTATGACGCCTGCATCCCATACAGGAGTGCCTGGTTCAAGTCCTGCCTACTGCAGGCTTCCCATTCAGCTTCCTGATAATGAGCCTGGGAGGCAGCGAACGACGGCCCAACGTACTTGGGTTCCTGACATGCTTGTGGGAAACTCAGATGGAGTTCCTGAGTCCTGGCTTGGGCCTGGCCATGCCCCAGCTATTGTGGCCATTTGGAAACTGTGCCAGTGGATGAAGATCTCTGTCACTCTGCCTTTCAAATAAATAAATCCTTTAAAAAAGTAAAAAAAAAAAACACACACACACACACACACACAAACCGGGGCCAGAGCTGTAGCGTAGCAGGTAAAGCCACCGCCTGCAGTGCCAGCATCCCATATGGGCACAGGTTCGAGTGACGGCTGCTCCACTTCCAATCCAGCTCTCTGCTATGGCCTGAGAAGGCAGTAGAAGATGGCCCAAGTCCTTGGGTCCCTGCACCCACGTCGGAGACCCAGAAGAAGCTCCCGGCTTCGGATTGTCACAGCTCCGGCCACTGCAGCCAATTGGAGAATGAACCAGCGGATGGAAGACCTCTCTCTCTCGGCCTCTGCCTCTCCTTCTATCTGTGTAACTCCGACTTTCAAATAAATAAATATTAAAAAAACAAAAAACACTAGATTCCTTCTCATCTGAACTGCTTGCTCCAACCCAAACCAACTACCAGAGTCTAAACCTAAACCTACAAAGACTCCTCCCACCAGGCAGACAGCTTCATCCTCATCTTCCTGTCTGTGACAGCTGAAAATCTAAACTGCCCTTTCTAAAAAAAGCCAACTCACTTCCTACCCTCAGCGAAACCCTTGTCTGTCAGCTGCAGGCACTTCCAGCGAATGAAGACTGAACTTGCTTCTGGCAGTAACTATTCCTGGACAGCACCAGGCTGTTCTGCACCGTACATTCCTGGTATACAATACACTAGCAGCATGCTCACGGACCTCCCTCACTGAAAACTCAGGTTGAGGACAGCAAGAAGCAAGCAGGAGCATACCAGACACCAGTGCTTTTCAAAGTTCGCTAACTTGACACACAGAAACACCTCCTTATACCCTCACACCTGAAGCAGGTGTCAAGAAACACTACTCCGCGGCTGGGGTTGTGGTGCAGCAGGTTAAGCCACGGTTTGCAACAGGCATCCCATATAGGAGTGCCAGTTCAAGTCCTGGCTGCACTTCTGATGTGTTCCGTGCTAGTGTGCCTGGGAGAGCAGCAGCAGATGGCCCACTACTTGCGCCCCTGCCACCCATGTGGGAGCCCTGGATTGAGTTCCAGGCTCCTGGCTTCAGCTTGGCCCAGCCTTGGCCATTGAAGCCATTTAGGGAGTGAACTAGCAGATAGAAAATCTTTCTCACTCCCCTTTCTGTCTCTCCCCTCTCTGTGTCACTCTTTCAAATAAAATCTTAAGGAAAAAAAAAAAATACTCGGGGGCCAGCGCTGCATCCCATACAGGCGCCGGTTCTAGTCCCGGCTGCTCCTCTTCTGAACCAGCTCTCTGCTATGGCCTGGGAACGCAGTAGAAGATGGCCCAAGGCCTTGGGCCCCTGCACCCACGTGGGAGACCTGGACAAAGCTCATGGCTCCTGGTTTCTGATCGGCCCAGCTCCGGCCATTATGGCCATTTGGGGAGTGAACCAGCAGTTGGAAGACTTCTCTCTGCCTTTCAAATAAAATAAATTAAATAAATAAATTAAACCTGCGACAATTCAAACCTTACAGGTGCATTCGACAAGCTGCCAATGAACCCTTGAAAAGCTAGTAGGCAACAGAGCCACTGACCCGCTGCAAGAACTGGGCACCCCGGGGAGGGAGTCCTATGGCTCTGAGGACCAGGTTTAAGTCGCAAGTGGCCGGCGTTTCCCAAGCAACCCTCGGTGACTGTGTCCATGCCTTTAAACCTCTTCACACACTCAGCCCACTCAATCTCACAGGGCGGCAGGGCTCACTTACAGCCCGCTACGGAAAGGAACACGGCCTTAATGCCCCCTTCCAGGAACCCGGAATCAGACAAGCCGCCGTGAGGATCTGATGTGCAGAGAGCCCGCCCCCGCTCCTGTCTTAATCACTGCTCGCCGCGATCTCTCGTGAAAGGAGAAACCAGGGAACCCCCGACTCCGGGAGCCGCGCACCCGCCCGACAGACGCCGCCACAGCTGCCCAGCAAACCCCGCTCCAGGCCCGGCAGAGAGCGCAGCGAGGGACGCCCCGGGAACCCGCGGGCTCCGCATCCCGGGGGAGGCAGGTGAGCGCGCGCCCCGCGGAGTCCCGGCGGCTCGGAGGCCACCTTCCAGGCTGGGACCCTCCCGCCGACCCTCTGCCCCCAAAGAGCCCACTGCCCTCCCACTTCCGCCTCTCCTCACCCGCCCGGGGAGGGCGCTCCCGCTTCTGCAGGGGAGAATGGGGCCCGAGAGAAGGAGAGCAGGGAACCCGGCGTCCCCCGCGCCCCCTCCGTACCGCTCTCGCCGCTTGGGAATCTCCCGCCTCGGGTGCCGCGGGCCCAGCGCCGCCTCCCGCCACAACGCGGCCTCCCGGGCGCCTGCGCGCCAGGGCCCGGCCAGGCGTCCAGCGCCCCGAGTGCGCGCGCGCCGTGCGTGTGCGGCGTGGGGGTGGGGCCTGCGCGGCTCCGCCCCTCTCCTCCCTCCTCCGCTCCCCCTCCCCCATCCGCTGCCGCGGCCGCCGCAGGAGCCCGGAGCTCGAGCCGCCCAGCGACTCCCCCCTCCCCCTCCCCCAGCCCCGCCCCGCCCCAGCCCGGGGCTCGGAGCCGGAGCCGAGTCTGCGCCTGGGGGTGAGTACGCGACCCCCTCCCCAGCCCCCTCCCTTGTCTTTGAGGATTCCACCACCACCCGGAGGAAAAACCCGGACTCAGCTGCGCGTCCCCTCCCTTCTCCCTCCTGAGGGACCCAGAGGTGCCCGGGCCCGCGGGACCCCGCTGCCCCCAACCCCACACCATCCGTAGCCAAATGCAAGTCCTCCGACCCCCGTCGCGGGTCCATATGTGCCCCGCCCTCGGTCTCCAGCCCCTAGGGAGATCCCAGGGGGTGGGACCCCCGCCCGGGCCCCCTAGTGCCACTCTTCTTCCACCTTCCCGGCCCAGGTGCGCGTCCGCCCTGCGCCCCTCCGGGGCTCCCGCTGCACCGCACCTGCCCGCCGCCCCCGCCTCCGAGTTTTGGATCCTGGGGTCGCCAAGTCCGGCGCCCTCGAGCCCTTCTCTCTTTTCTACTGTGCGGGGGCCGGGTACTCCGAAGCTGCCCAGGAGCAGGGGTTCGGGCTCGGGCAAGGGCAGGGTTCGCGGGTGCGGGCTCGCGGCCGGCAGCTGCCCCTGGCGCGGCTGGGGACCGGTCGGCGGGCGGGAGAGGCGGCTGGCCCGGGGAGCGCGTCCTCAGCCTGCTCCCCGCACAGTGCAGTTCATTCATGAGCCGCCCGGGCCTGCGGCGGAGGGTGCGGCGGGGAACGGCGAGTGGGGCAAGGGCCCTGCTGGGGGGAGGGGGCGCGCTTTGTCCCTTCTGGCTGTCTTGACCACCTAGAGCGACAGTCCCAACACTTGTCGTCCTGTTGCCCTGCAAAGGGAAGGACGCTTGGGAAGTGGGCAGGAGAGGTCAGAGGGGCTGGCTGCCCTTGGGGCTCTGTGCTGCCACCTCCCTGGGTCCCCTGGGCAGAGGTCTGGACGCTGGGGGCCAACCTGAGTACTCCACTGCCCTGAGAGGCTGGGGCCTCCCTACCCGGTACCACTGCAGCCACCCCGGGAAGAATGAGACTGTGTCCCTGGCCTGCCTCACCAGGCACAGGTGAGGAGGGGAGTGGAAGTGTCGGCCAGGCTCTAGGTGGGAGTGTGCTGGCAGCGTGATGGCCCTCCAGGGCACCAGAAAGCCCAGGCCCTGGCGTGCCCCAAGACGCACATGCTGGGGCCTGCTGTTGGCTGGCTTGGTGCAGTCTTGGCCTGTGGATGGGTGGGTAGGTGGGTCGGTGGGGATGTTGCAAGGCAGAAGGTGGCCCCGGGAAACTAAGAACCCCTTCTGGGTATCATACAAGTTCTGTCCAAGTACAACAGGATCAGAGAGGTCTGAGTTCAAATCCTAGCTCCACCACTCTTTAACTGGGTGACCTTGACAGGTTCCCTAACCTCTCTGGACCTCAGTTTCCATTAAGAAGTGTGGCCACGACAGGCTTGGTCATGGGATCAAGCAGAGTAGCACAGGTGGACGCTGGCACCTTGTCTGGGAGCTGGCCGATAGTGGCCACGACAGGCTTGGTCATGGGATCAAGCAGGGTAGCACAGGTGGACGCTGGCACCTTGTCTGGGAGCTGGCCGATAGTGGCCCTGAACTTCTGACCCATCCTGGGGTAGAAGCACCCACCTGCGCCTGCAGCCCCACCTCAAACAGATGCATGGGGTGTATTGCCAGAGCCTGGGAACATTTGCTGCCACTTTAGCAGTGTCCCTCCACCAGGGTAAGCCCTTGACCTGACTGAGGGGCTCTGTGTTATTTCTGTTACATTAAGTTCTAAGTTTTATTGTTATTTTTACCAATTTTCCTCCACTAAACCAAACCCTGGTATTCTACATCTTATTGATAACTGTAGGTGCTAGGACGAGGGGGTTAGTATATGCCTTAAGCTGTATTGAGAGATTTATACAAGTCATCTTGTGTAATTCTGAAAATGACCAGGTGACTGGTTTACTGTCCCCTTTTTCCAGCCAGTGGAGCCAAAGCCCAGGGTGACTGAGTAATTTGCCTAGGTGGGCAGTCAGATCTTTCCCATCCTAGAAACTGTGCTTTTACCCCCCAGATGGTGTGCCTGTCCCCTGCCCTGAAGTCACAAACCCACAGCCTGAGTACAGGGTCTGGAGCAAGAGGGGAGGCAGGGGGGTAGAAACAGGGCATGGCATTTCTCCAGAGTGGTAGCTGGTGGTACCCCTGCCCCCGCCCCAGCCCCTGGCTCCCTGGTAGAAGTGGCTGTAACATTTGCAGAGGCAGCAAAGTGCAGTGGTTAAGGGCATAGACTCCAGCCAAGCTGCCTGGGTCCATATCTGGGGCTACCACAGACTGGCTGTGTGACCTTGGTCAAGTTCAGTGCCTTCTCTGTGTCTGGGTGTCCTCCGGGAGTCATGATGGGGAGCAAATGCGTTAGGATTTATTCAGTGCTTAGAACAGTGCCTGGCACAAAATACAAGGGCACTTCAAAAAGTTTGTGGAAGATGGAATTCAAAGTTCAGAAGTTTACTGTGGTGCAAAAAATGTTTGAAATCCATCCATAGTTTTTTCTTTTTAAAATATATTTGAAGTCAGAGTTACAGAGAGAGGAGAAGAGACAAAGAGAGAGAGGGAGAGCTTCCCTCCGCTGGTCCACTCCCCAAATGGCTGCAACGACCAGGGCTGAGGATAAATCTCAGAGCCCGGAGCTTCTTCCAGTTCTCCCACGTGAGTGGCAGAGACCCAAATACTTGGGCCTTCTTCTGATGATCTCCCAGGCCATTAGCAGGGAGTTGGATTGGAAGCGGAGCAGCTGGATCTCCAGCCAGCACCCATCTGGGATGCCAGCATGGAAGGCAGGGGCTTAACCCACCCGCCCCCATGGCTTAACCCACCCGCCCCCATGCATAGATTTTTCATGATGTACATATTCCGGGGGCTTTTTGGGCTCCCTGCCCCAGAGTTTAATAAGCATTTGATACATGCCTTCTTTCACTACTACTTTTATCCTTAACTTGTGGATACATTTTTACCTATCTGTCTAAGACAAGGATATTAATATCTCTTTGTTACATATTGGAGGACTGAGGTCCGCAATTACCTAGTAACAAAGCCGGCCTCTATCTTTACCTCCTCCCATCAGTCCACATGGCCTTCCCAGGATCCCAAGCCCAAAATTAAACTTTCCCCAGTAACAACATAAAAAAAATTTTTTTTATAACTCCTCAGCCCCTGCCATGCACACACTCCATAATGGTAAAATAGTAACCTTAGCTCAGAATAAAATCCTGTCACTCTCTCCACACACTCCCAGCTAAAGCCTCAGTTTCAAACAGAGAAACCCCAGGATCAGGCTGGCTCAGGCACTTCTGTACACTGGGAGAACTGCTCCTGCCTCTCCAACCCCCCTCCCCCCCCCCAGATCTGCCCCTGCCTCTCCACCCCCCCCCCCCATTATTCCGCCTCAGGCTCTTTCCTCCTCTCTGCTGCTCAGCCCAGTGCTGGCTCTGGGAGCAGCTGCCCTTGATGAAACTCGGCCACAACCCCGCCCCCACAATTAAGAGCTTGGCCTAACCCTGTGGACTGGCAGAGCCACCAGCCCTGCCCCGCCCCTAACATGCCCTGTGACCTCTTGGGAGTCTCTCCTTCCTCCTCCGTGAAATGGGGTAATGATGTGAGTGTGCCCTGCCCTCCTCTGGTGAGAGGATCAAGAGCCTCCCCTCCCCACTGGGGTACCTTCTTGTAGAAGCTCCCAGAATTCTCTGCCTCACTTTGGAGAAGAGCTAAGCACTAGGGGAGGAGGAGGAGGATGGTGCTCATTATATTCTGACCTGGTGGGGCCTTGGGGTTCAGGGACACAGGCGAGGGAGCGGGCTGGTGAGATTTCTGGAGTATGTTGGAGTTGGAAGATGAGAAAGAGGTGCTAATTAGAGTCGCCCACCCCAATCCCCCGCCAGTCCAAGATACCTACACTTAACCTTTAGCCTTCCTGGTGCCTCTGGATTCTGTGCCCTCTGTTTGCATGCCAGGCTCCCAGACACACCCATGTGCACGCTGCCAGTTAGAGCTCCCTTCACTTCCACCGGCTGCCAGGCAGTCACCTGCCTCCCACCGCACACACTACACACATCCACACACGTTCCCACAGTGCCCTGAAAATACGTAATGAGCATCGATGAAGCTGCCGTGATCTGCAGAGCCCTGTTCTAAGCACGTCGGAAAGCATCCTGAGGCTATGGAAAGGGTTCAGGCTTTAGAAAGTTGACTTGGGTTTGAATCCTGAGTCCATCATTTTGTTAGCAGTGTGACCTTGGGAATGCTTCTTAACCTCTCAGAGCCCTGCGTCCTGAGGAAGTGATACACAGGAGTGCTGAGGATTAAATACAGTCATCCATATATTATTCTTGAAAGACTAGGCACTAGGTAAGTGGCACCTGCTTCAATGACTAAATTGGTATTTCTGGCTTGGGCTAAAAGAGAGGGCAGCATAACACACGCACAGGACCGTTACTCAGCCTCCCTCACCTGAACTTTGCGGAGGCTCCTAGGGAGCAGATGAACCCCATAAACAACCCCAGCTTCCCCACACACACACATCTGATGGCATGTGCCCCTTGCCCTGTGGTCCGGGTTAGGAAGAGCCATGGGGGACCCCTCCTGGTCACCCCCGGGGCTGAGGGACACTTGCTCCCAAAGTTGCAGTCAGTGATTGTAGGTTTGTTGTTCTCTCTCTTTGTCTGAGTCCTTTTCTTCCCTGGGGAGTCCCCCCTCCCCCGGCAGAGCTCTGGTGTAGTCAGCAGATGGGTCCCCAGGGGCCCCCTGGGAGGATGGGGTGGGGCAGCGCCGCCTCTGCAG